ATGTTTTTGTTATTGCAAAGTTAAAGAATAAATCTGTACAACTGTTTCAAAGTTACGTGGAAAAAGAAACTCTTTAATGAGAGAATCTGTAATTTCCCTAGTCTGTGCACTACGAAAATAATACCTTACTTTGGTATTTGTAGATGTATTTTCGTTTTGTAGATGTAAAAGTATATTAATATCCATCTGCAAGAGCTTTGGGGGATCCCTTTATTCCATGTTTTAAGTCATTAATCTACATGTCTATAGTTAGTCTAGATTTCCTTTGGAAGTACTTTCTGTAATCAGTTATACATACCCAGTGGGGAATGGCCCAGGCCAGTCTTACCAGTTTTACAAACCATAGCTGGAAACGATCTTAAGATGCATATGTCTATGTTATATTTTTAAAAAGCAAAACATGCTACCATGTAAGATAGCCTGAAAATTAAAGGTAAATGCTTGTATTATGAGCTTCTAGCTGCTTCTAAAAGTGACACCACCCCCTCCTCGCTTCATTTTATGTAACTAGAATTTTGGTATCTGTATGTAGAATGTACATTCATGGACTGAAACTTGAAAGATGATCTAAGAGTATATCATTATAGCAGCACTGTATGTCTTTGAGTGTCACATTTATTTGTTGGTGGATTGGATGGTAACCCTGTTTTCTGCAAGTCACTGCTCTTTTAGTCCCGAATGTAGCACAGCTCTACCAAAGTGGAGTCCAGTGAGGTAAGTCCTGTTGCTCAGCCCCTTGTTTGGCCATAGATGTGTGTTTTCTGTTTCTGAAGTTTTATGCTGACTGTGAGTAGAACTTCTATTTGACCCTTCAAACACATTTCCAGCCCACTGGAGACACACTTTGATTTGAAGCAGTGCTTATTCAAAAAGAAAATTCTGGTGGCAAACACATGAAGAGCTCTGCTTGGGAAAAGGCTTTTAGATCAATGTTAGTCCCTTGGGAATCTCTGACTTTTTGCACTAACTGTGGTGCCAATACTGATTTTTATTAAGAAAAACCTAATGGCTGTTTCCTTTCTCCCTGCAGTTAATATTCATGTATGAATAACAATGAAAACTGGAACTTCATATCATTTAAAAAAAAAAAATTACATAGAAACAAGATGAAAAAATACCAAAGTTTGGAGACGTGGGGGTTTTAATGTATACCAGCAGACTTTGAAGAGGGTTACAAGATACTTGTGTAAATATTGTGCACCTTGAAATACCTCTTGTTCAGTTATCATTATATAAATGTATGGGTAACAAGACAGCATAGAGTTTTAAAGGTGCACAAGAATATACAACGCAACTGTAACTGATAGTTATTATTACATAGTTAATAGATGTTGAACTAGCTGATAAAGCCAGAGTTATTTTACTCTGGTGTAGGTGCTGCTTAGGTAATTTTCCTTTTTGTCCTGCACGGCTCTTGAACGGTCTTTCATGTTTTCATTTGTCCCATTGTTTCCCCAAGCACTTTTTGATGGAGGGGTTGTTTCTATGATGCCTTTTTACTCTGCTGGCAAGGGGCAATCCATTCATTAAGGAGTATTCTATGTAAATAAATTCAGTAGCAGGTGCTTGTAGTAGGACAAGAGCGAGGAAGCTGTAAACCAGAATAAGTAACTTGCATGCTGACAGTGTTCTGTGTTAGGCCCTCCCTCATCTCAGGTAGTTGCTACTTCAAAAATCACTGCCAGAAGATGATGGATACTAAAGAAAAAGTGCATCCCCAGCAACTTGATTGCAAGTTCTCAACTTTGCTAAGATGCTGGAAATTACAATGATCTTGCCTTAGGGTAAAATACATTAAACAAGTCTTCGGTCTTGCTTCATGACATGGGAAGCCTCTAATGCAATTTTTGGCACTGTATAAAACGAAGCGGAAGATGGAAAGAAGCAAAGCTCTTCGTCGACACAGGAGAAGGGGATTTTTCCTAGAAGTGCAACATAATGGCAAAGATGTTGAGAAAATAGTTTCCTCCATTCCCAAACTTCAAAAGTGCTTCAAAAACTGCCTAAAAAGGGGTGATGCTGACAAAGATGAATGGTGAATCTGAGTACTGATCTCATAGTTTCTATGATCATAGCTTACAGGTCTTTAAATTGCAGAAAGAAAAAAAAAAGAAAAAGATATCAAAGTAAACATCCTTCAGTGGTGCATGGCAAGATGACAGATTCTTTCTAACAAGATTTTCTGCTCTTCTGGAGGAAGACCATTTGTTAATAAACCATTTGAGAATCCATTTTTAAGGGATTTAATAAAATATACACTGACTGCCTTCTACCGCAGAAACTATTATTCCCTTGGGTAGAAAAAGTGACTGTCTGTGGACATTAATGGTTGCTTCCTGTGACTCCTGGCATTATATCTTGCTCCCATTTGCACTTTTTGAACCCAAAGTGAAATAATTTTTTATGAGAAGCCTGCGCGTGGTTCCTAGCTCTTATGAGGCATATATGGGTTCTATATTTTATTTATTTGTATTCAGCCATGTCCATAAATCTCGTCATTCGAGTGTCTCTGTCTGTAGTGTGGGTATTGTGTGTGGTTTTGTGTGCTTTCCTGTGTACCAGAAAGTTTCCATGTCTAGCAAACTCCATTAAGGGAGTAATAGCTTTTGTGTGAATTTTTGTGTGAAGGGGTAATAGCTTTTGTGTGAATTAAATGAGTTGTTCCATTCTTGCTGAAGATTCTAATAAATAATTCACACATTTCTATCAAAAATTGTAGATTTTCTATTATGATGGTTGCTGTCAATTAAACAAGAAACCTGAACTTGTTATGGTCTTAGAGATACTTGCCTGGAGTGGTTGTGTAACACACAGAAGAGGTGTTTTCTTAAGGATTTGGAGGATGGTTTTCTGCTGCCATCTTTCCAACCATGAAAATAAGTTATATTTTTTTCAACTACGAGAGAAATGCAGTGGAATTGAGGGATTAAGTAATTTTTGTAAGTAATTTTGTGTTTTCTGAGACTATCAGCACACTTTGGTTCTCTTGAATTAAGAAACAATTTTTCTGCAAAGAATGCTTCATAAGGGGTTTTTGTGAAAAATACCAGTTGATTTCAGTAGGGCGAATGATAAGAGGAGGAGAAAGTCGGGGTGAGTGACCCTTAGAAGTCAAAACATGGGTAGTTTATGTACGTAAATGTGAAATTCACACATGCCCGAATATATCCTGTCTATATTATCTTACTGGCTTCCTCTTGTCATGCATGGTAAATGGCAGGCAGTGCTGGAGGCGAATTTAGCACATAGATTGATAAGTGGAGGCCTAGGCAGACACTGATTTCACAGAAGGAAGAATAAAATCTGGAAAGCTAATGATGTTACAGTCACTGGCAGCTCTAGCAGATCCCAAATGGATGTACTTAGAGGCATAATATGTTTGATTCTTTTCTTTACCAGAATTATCTCCATGTCATATCCAAGAACTAAAGACATAGGGGCAGGCTGTGGATGGCAAGATGGACAGTCATTGCATGGTCATAGTATTACGACCTTTTAGATAAAAGGAGATTACAGATAGGATGCTGCCAGGAAATGACAGAGCTGGTAGAGAAGGAGACAAGCAGTAGGACAGACACATTTAGAAGAGACGATTTATTTTAAAATAACATCTGTGTGTGTAGCAAACTGTTCCTACTGTTCATCACTTAGTCTCTGTGTGCTTGCTTGATAATGGTGTCACATCAGTAGTAAGCCCGTGTAATTCTCTGAACAGAGGCTGGAACAAAGCTGGTGAAAATTCAAGAATAATGCGGTATTTGTCCCCTCTGAACCATGTGTACCTCAGAAGGAACTAATCCAAATGCTCAATGTTATACGTTCAGATCTTTAATGCTGAGAACATGAAATAATGCACAGGTTCTTGTAAAGAGTCTCATATGAATTTGCAGGTGTTCTCCCTGTAAACTCAAATGTGACAGTTACCATTAGTTCTGCTTCACAGTAACACTTAAACTGGATATTTGGACATGGGACAGATTAATTTTATAACAACCCCACCATTCAAGGTGCTGAGATCTTGGCTGGTGTGCATCAGCAAGGCAAGTGGGGTTGGAGGTAAGGCATGCTGAGGCTTTCTGAGGAATTAACCGAGGCAAGTGCAGGTTCCATATGGTGCAGTTTTATACAGCCTGAAGCAAAATACTGAGAAAGTCTTCAGTGCATTGAGTTGAGGGAAGCGCAGACAAATGAAAAGCATAACCCTTATTACAAAATCTGTGAATTCAAATTCTCTGTACATATGAAGCTGGGTAACTCTACTGCACAATAGTTTGTGACACACTAGTGATCACTCAATAATAAATGGAGTGAAATACAGTATTTATCTCTGTCCACTCAATTTCTAAGGTAATTTTAGACTTTGCTTCTTGTAATGCAGTACATATTCTCATTACATTTACACTAAATGTGGAACAAGCGTATTTGCTTCCAAGATTTGAACATTTGCCGATTCGGAGTAAAATGTGTACAGTTCAGAATCTGGTAGGTATAACAAAGCTGACAGGCCCTTCGAGAAGCAGAGGAGGCTGGTGCTAAATCCTACATGAATACCTTCTACCCCACTTATCTATATCATTTTAAACATATTGAAATATAAGGTATAAAGGCTTGTTTCAAATTAACTTAGAATTTGTTTCCAGTCTTACTGACGGATCTCTTGGTAATCAGAAAAACAGGTAATTCCTATTTTTTCTTTGGATGACATTCCTCTTGCTTTGAGGAGTACCAGAAGATGCTCTTTAGTGACCACTCTCACAGATTTAGAGAGTGTTGCTTTTATAACTAAAAAAACTTCAGCTTTTCTAATTAGCACAGTTAGTGGCCATTGTGTTTACAAAGCATTTCATAGCTGCGGAGCAGTGTATGGTAGGGAAACTTCTTTTCATAAATACAAACCTGGATAATTTCACTGAAATAAGTGTCTTTGGGTGCTTTATTTGAACAGTTCAAGTGACTGACTTCTCATTACAGCTCTTCTGGATTTTTCTGTTTGTTTTCAGCTGTTGGACAAATTAAAAGATCGCTGGATGCATACTGGCTTATGGAAAAACCTGGAGCTGGTGAAGACAGTCATTGCAGAGCCTCAAGGAGGGGCAAAGAGTGACTTTGATGAACTGCTTAAAATATACTATGATGCAATAAAATGTAAAGGAGAAAGAGGTACGCTCTTCAGACATACAAAATAGTTGATACAGAATCTTCAAGTTTAAAACAAAAGGGATTCTTAAAGAGCTTACAGTTAGAATAAGGTATGGATGAACAGTTAAATTAATCTCATCTTAATAAATTATTGTGGTAAATGAGGCAGACTAACTGCTACTTATACTGTTGCATGAGGATGTCGGGAAATGCAGGATGATGCATAATCCTAATCATGATATTCAAAAAGCAGTGAGCTGTGTAAGGATATGCAGTTGTGTGTCCCGCAGGTTGTAGAGCAGCTTCTCAGAGAGTCAAATTTACTGTTTGTTGCATAACTGTCTTTTGCCATCTTATATTGCAGCCAGTATAGGATTTCTTCTCAAAAGACTTAAATATTAGTATAGAAAACCAAGTATGTCAAAAAAACAAATGGTGTGATTTTGGGAGTGCAAAATTCAAGGTTTAAAATTTAGAAGCTTGTTATAGATACATATGGTTCTTCAATAATTAAGTACTACTCTATTATATAATGCCAAATTACTTAGCTAGTTGATACTCAATATCATATACAATATAACTGATCAAAGTGGAGTTAATCTCATCCCTTTAACAAAGAAGTCTATATTTTTATATCCACTCGCCTTTTCTGGACTGTTTATGTTTTCTGGACTCTGTTATGTTTAGCTCTTTAAAGATGTTGGTCTGTTAGAAGGTGTTGGTGAAACTTTCTTTTGATACTCAGTTTGTCACTGGGAATGATTTGTATGTTCCTCTCTGGCTTGTTCAAGATGGAGCACTCCTTATAGCTGTTTGCAGAGGAAAAGTTAGTGAAGGCTTGGATTTCTGCGATGAGAATGCCCGTGCCGTTATAACCATAGGTATTCCATTTCCAAATGTGAAAGACCTCCAGGTAGGATATCAATTGAAAGAGTTGTGCTTTATTTTTATGTCATGTTTAAAACACCAGATATGCACAAAATACTTTTTCTAAATATGTACCCCTGGATTCCTTGCAATCCCTTTTGAATTCTTTGAGTTACCTTCTACACAGGTAAGAGGACGAACAGCATAGCATGTCTTGAGGACTCATTTATGTCATTCTAAATAATTGTATATCATGCTGTAGATGCATTAAAAATTTTTGTCTGACATTGCTCGTGAAGGCTATTGCATTGTTAAAAGGCTCGTTAACTTCATACTCCACCAAGCAGCGGTGCAGATTCCCTCGCCTGTTTTCGTGCACTGAAACTTGTGCCATTTATACAGAAATGAAGTTACTTCCTTGGTTGTTTAGTTGTGAAGGTCTGGGATAAACTCTAGGAAAATACTAGTTTAAATAAGGCATTCAGATAGATCAAAAGATTATTTCAGAAAATAGGTGGAAAGATAAAAGTAGTTATAGTGTAAAATAATAACAATGGAGCAATGTTTCACATGCAACATCATTATTGATTGCAATATATCACCTTTCTAATCCCTGTTGCCTTCTTTACTGTAACTATGTGAATGATATTTCCCACTTAAACAGTCAGTGGCACTATAAACCTTTTCCAAGCTAATGCTACTTTATTAGCTTGCAATTTTGAGGTATGAATTATGACATAACACAGCCTCCTCCTGCATACTGAAGATATTAGTATTCTCATAATTCAATTTAGGCAAAAACTTCCAACTGCCTTCTAAAACCAGTATTTTGAAGTGCCTCCAATTAAAGAAATTGGAGACTATTTGTAGTTTTCAGCAAGTGGCCAAAGTAGGATCCTATTGCTTGGACTGCTATGTAATTGCCCACGTCAACACTTCCTTCCCTTTGACTTCAGTGGGTCTTGTCTCATGGGTAGATAGATGATGTTCTATTAGAATAGGCACTTCGTAGTTGAAGCCAGCCATTCATAAAGGAAAAGAAAGCCAATGCATATGGAAAAGTGTTTGTCTAGACTCTCTTTCTACTTGCTGGAAAAGAATATCTATTATTGACTAGTTTTGTAAGACTTCTTAGTTTTTAGTGGTCTGTACATGTCACTTAGGTAGTCGCTCAGTTGCTGGCACACTTCTTCCGGTGATAATAGCTACTGTCACTGCTTTATCTTATGTGAATCTTTTAGAACTTTTTGAGACTACTTTGTGAAGGTAAGAAACAAAGTGAAGCATCACAGAATAAATAAATACCAGAATAGCTGGATTCTGATTATTAGTAATGCCAAATCATTAGGTTCATACTTGAAAGCCCAAACAGACTCAGATTTGGTTTTAGAGGTGTTTTGAGTTAAAGTGAACGACCAAAGGCTTCTTTGTTGTCTACAGTGTGTGCCTAATTACAGCCTTGCTGGAAAAAACCCACATCCTATAAGGACTAGGAAGGTTATATTAGTGGTGGCTACCTAGTGCAATGTTCTTTCAATGTTTGCATAACTTTCTGGAAGCACTCGGTCAGCCACAATGTTTTTTGTCTTACTAAAATGTACTTCAGTATAAAAGCATTTACATTCAAAGAATACTTATCACTATTTCCAGATTTAGAGATGCTTGGATTTAGAAGCATATGCTGAAACGGTATTTTGAAAATGGTCTGTAGTATGGCTGGAACTCCTACAATTTACTTCACATGATTTCCAGAAAGTCAGTATTTTTGTGTTCTAAATGATACAAAAATAAATTGAAAAGAATATATCAAGGATGAATTATGTTTCTTAAGATGAAAACAGTGTATTTGGTTTTACCTTGAGATTAACCAAATATGTAACATAACAGAATCACAGGCAGAACATCCCATTACTGATAACTAAATTCCAAAAAATCAGTGTTGAGTTAAATTTTATTTATTTTTTTTTTAATTAGACTGAAGAAAACCTCTAAATTTTTAAGTAGGGATAGAAACAGTAGCTGCCAAATTGCAAGCAGCTAAAGGTTTGAGTGTATATATTTAGATATGGTAATGCACAAAGCACTCCAGTGATCAATTCTGGATGAGAGAAGGGCATGCACCAGTCTCTTAGCATCAGATTTGAGGAGCTGTCTGGTGCATGGCAGTGCTCCTAGAATGATGCTAGAGGAAATTGGGGTTATTGTAAATGTGTCTTTTGCTCAAGAACTTGGCTCCCAAGTGATGCCCAGCTGGCAGTACTTCCCTTTAAATCAAATCATTCTGTTTTGACCAAGACTTTAGGCTTATTAGATACCCAAAAAGTTCTGGATTGATGCACATTTCTTTTATCAACTGAGCTCAGTTGCAGGGTGAAAGATAGTCACTGTTTTCACTGAAGAATGATGAGTAGCTTTGTAGAGATCTAAGCATAGATACACAAGAAATTTGGAAGACTAACCATCTTTTTCAGCAGCATGTCAGCTCATAACAGGAATTGGAATTACATTTTTAAGGAAAACTGGCTGTTGATATTGAGGATTGGCGTGTAAAATTAAAAGTTAAAAGAAGGGAGGGAGAAAAGGACATGACACCAATTTTCACCTGATAGTATTCGTTTTGTTTATTTCTGGGACAGCTGATCCAATAGTATAGCTTCCCAGAATGGAATGAAACAGATGTATTATAAAAGGGTACAGAAAACTAAGCACTGCATGTTACAAAAATCATTAATTAGATATAAAACCAACTTGATAGTGTATTTTTAATAGTCTGTATTAACAAATGCAAATTGTTGTTTATTACTTCAGTCCACCTAAACCAACAGACCTTACCTGAACATCAGAAAGGAAAGCAAAGTTTTATTCTTTCATATTTTTTTGTAATTCTTCTAAATGCTTTTTTAGAGTGTCTGATTCTACTTTGAATGTTTCTCCTTATTAACAGGTTTTTTCTATAGACATTCTCTTTTTCTCCTGAGGTTAGAAGAATCCAGATTTTTAAAAGTTAGAAGACACGTAGAGTTCATCTTTTGTTTGTTTGTTTCTAGGATTTTAGGATATGTTAAGTTCCCAAATGAAACAGTTGAAGTTTATAGGATAGTTAGGACATTTGCTTTCCTGATACACTTGGTTTGTGGTTCTTTAGGTTTTTTAGACTCTGTTAGCCTAACTGTTAAAATTTTCTGTTAAAATTGATTAAAACCTGGAAACTTAAAACTTCCAGCTTTGAAGCTCTATGAGGAACTGGAGTTTGAGCAGACGGAAGAAACATCAAAACACAGTGGTGCAAGACAAGTTAGACCTATGTAGACATTAAATTGTGAACACAGGTACAGCTGCAGCTTTTACGTAGCAACAGGAGCTTAGTAGATACACCAAACTAAGAAACCAATAAGATGATTAATAATGACATTCCTTTAAAAATAGGAAATGCAAGTGATTAACAATTCCCTTGGATATCCACGAATGACATACTTCTAGGACTGGTTTAAATCACTAAAAGTGTTCTGCTTCTACATGAAAATACACTTGTATTTCTGCTTTTTGGGTTAGTAAAAGTCCTCTTAAGACTCAATTCTATAACCCCTTACTCCTGCACATAGCTTTTACTTGTGTGAGTAATCCGCTTAATACTTCTAGGGCTGTGCACAATCATAAGGGTTTGTAGAATCGTACGTTTGGAGACCAATATTTCATGTAGGCAGTTTGATGTTGGCTCATCTCCACTAACATTACTTGTCTGTGATCAACCTGCTTTCTAAGTATATTTTATGATTTGTAATGTGATTGAATACCAGTGAACTATATTATTAGAGAATATAAATAATGTGACAGGAAAAGATGTGTAATCCCATATACATGTTATCTGATGCTAACATACTACTCATTAACTTCCGTTATATAGTTTGAATTGTAGCATTTTGGATCCAGACATCAGTCTTTACTTGGGTAGAAACTCACTGTCAAGTGTGATGTATAGTATCCAATTTTATTTTCTCCATATGTTTGTGCTAAATATATGCCACAACTTCTGGTATTAAATGGCAAGAATTTGGTCTCCTTTAGTAACTGTATGCTTTTAGAAGTTACATTATTTTCTGTAGAACCTTTAAAGACTATCAGTTAGTTTCAATTAAAAATTTTAGGCACATAGTCTCTTGTGTTTATTCATTTTGACAAAGAAAAGAGTTTAGAACACTTTATCAATGTTCGGGAAACAGAAATTATTAAGGTTCAGAAGTGTACTTGATAATAAACAGTGCTGATTTAAGAAAGAGAGGCCAAACCCCTAACTCTGTGTTACTGAAAACGGCTTCTTATTGCTGAAGAATCAGGTTGCTAAAGCAAAATATATAAAAGAAATGTTGAAGTATTGCTTAAAGCTATGGTACTCTCAATGGTGGGGTTTGGCTCTAGTAAAGCAGGAAAATTTATTTCAGAGCCAAAAATGACTTCTTTGGCTGTGACCAGGATTTCCTCTGCCCACCTTTGGGACCTGAAACTGGAGGTAGGAAAATCTGATTTTGGAGCCAAGTGTGACTTGTTTAGTTCAAGTCATAATTTACTGTTCTCACCTTGGGGACCTGAAAATAAAGAAACTCGCTATGAAATGTTGATAATGGGCGACTCTGAAGTGCAAGCATTAAGCTAACTTTCCCAGAGAGCATTTCTTCACTTCCACCTTTCCAGATGCTTTTGATCGTAGTACAGTAGAGTGTACTTAATCATGTAACAGCTCTGAGAACTTTACCAAAGTATAGAGGAAAACATAGTCAAACTCTTTTACATCAGTAGATGTGCAAGGAAAATGAACTTGGTAAGGCCAGGATTACTGTGTAGTGACATTACTCAAGGACTGTAGCTGAGTTTGCCACTAATGAGAAGTATTTCCCATAGCTGCTATAGGGTGAATATGAACTACAGTGGCAAATACTTTCTTTATTGTTTCCAGTAACACAATTTCTGAAGCATGATGGAACCCATCATTTCAATTAGTGTTCTGGGTTACAGGTAACCTAATGATACAGAGAGTTTGCAGCTATCTGG